CCTGGTGCGATCCCGCCACTGAGAGAAGATGTTCTCGAAGAAGCCAAAGCAGAGCCTGGGTTGACCAGGACACCCCAGTCTAGGAACACCCGCAGGAACAAACTCGGGCATGTCCGTCGCATTGGCACCACGTTCCCCGCTCTCTGGCTCGACATTCACCACCGGATTCGCGCCCTCAATCTCCAGTTCGAGAGCGTATTGCGCTTGCAACAGGTCAACCGTGTCGCCACCATATTGTTGCCGCACAGCCTCCAAGGAGATCTCCTTCTGCATCCACCTGGTGTACAGAGCCGTGTACGCCGCAAAGTCCAAGACAGGCGAAGCGGTGGAGGTCACATCCATCGGCCGAGACCTTGTGGCAGACGGTCCAGCAATGCCGGAGGAGCCAGTGCCAGAGTCGGAGCCCACAGCGGCAACGGTGGCGGGCGGCCGCACCATCACGGTCGGCACCTCACTCGGGGTATCCTCCATCTGCACCTGCAAGTTGAGCATCAACGGCGTACCATCCCGAGGAACTTCCATAGCCAAGGTGTGCGCCACTGGTCGGCCCGTGGAGCCCTCCATTGCACGCAAGGTGAGCATGCAGCGGCGCTTGACCGGGCGGTCCATTGCACTCAGGCTTGCCTGAAGCTGCTCATCTTCCCAAACCTGGTAAGCTTCAGCTTCACGCTGCAGAAAGCGCCGTTCCTCCTGTTCGAACATCCGAAGCTCCTCAGCTTCGTGCTCCTCCTTAGCCTGCTTCCACTGTCGCTCTTCGTCCTCATCCCGAAGAAGGCGTTCGAGGTCACGATCATCTTCTGTCGCCTTCCCATCAACTTGAGCGGCTTCCAGCGAGTCCTCAACCAGCGCCACATTAGCGGAGAAGTCGTAGCCGGGGATGAAGTGAGCAAGCTCCGGTGACCACCCTCGAAGCCATTCAATCTCAGGGACCTCCAACGCACCATCAGACCCCACATGCACGTCCTCCCCCATGACAAGCAGAAGCGCCAGGAGCTGTTCCAACCACTGTGTCGGGGTTTCTGTAGAGCTCAGGGAGGGAAGGCCGGCCCGCAGACGGATGAGGCAACGTCCTCGTTTCTCCGGTGAGAAGCCAGCGAGTTCTTTCTGCAACCGTACCATAGCCCTGGCCCATCTTTGTCCATCCGTGTCCACGCCTCCACTGGAAAGGAAACCCTGCATCATGTGGACTTCGTCGTCTTCTTCCAAGTCGTGTGCATCGGACGTCCCCCTCTCGTTCTGGGATTTAGGGTTTAGGGTTCTGGTTTAGGGTTTGTTTTGGGTTTAAGGGTTAGGGCCTAGGGTTTCGGATTTAGGGTTTGGGTCTGTGTTGGGCTTTGTTGAGAACGAGCGCAACACGTCCACCGCAAGCCTGTGCAAAAAGGGTTTAGAGCTTAGGGTTTGAGGGCTTCATCGAGGTTTCTGGGCTGCAGTAGAATTTCCCGGGAGTTGAGACAAATCTACTACCCTAAACCCTCGACCCTGAACTCTAAACCCTAAACCGTTATAAAGTTTGGTTTCGAGGTACGCAGCTGAGGGCGATCAGCACGTGACCTGACTAACCACATCCTGAGGACGATCGGTTAGCGGTGGCAAGAACACTACTCATGTCCCTGGCACAAGCCATGGCTTCGCGCAGTTCTCATTAGTGCCTAGCCTTACTTCTCGACAGGACCACAACAAATCCAGTCCCGGGAGCCGTAGGGTTTAGGGTGTTGTTTTTAAATGCAATGCGCCCCTTTCCCATACGCAAGAGCGAAGGAGCGTACTCCACAGGAGTCGCACCGTATCAAGGGGTCCTCTGGCAAGAGGAACCCCAAAAACTGCACTAACAATCTCAGTCGAAGATCCGAGATAACACAACGACAGAAGAAAGGGCAGCTCCCTGGAGCAGACACACTTCAAATCTATGTCAGTGCCCCTCAGAAGACTCGGAAGAAGGAGAACGTCCAAGATGAGGCACGGCCAACTCTCCCATGTCCCCTTCGGCGTCTTCACCGTCTTCCCGAGTTTCCTCATTGTCGGAGCGTACGACCTCAGCAGCCATAAAGCCATCCTCATCAGCATCAAGCGGGGAAGGATCACCAAGTTCGGTTCGAGCACGACGAGCACGAAGAGGAGGAACTCCTCGACGACGTCCAGTGAGCCCATAAAGCATCCTCCGAAGATCGTTTCGCCCATCACCAGGAGGAGGCCTCCACGACGAAGACGATCCCATTCCCTCCACAACCGCATCACGGCTGCGAGAGCGCTCCCTAGTAACCCGAGCGGCCGGAACACCCGACATCATCCTTGGTGGCGGGCGTTGGTGTTGATAGCGGCGACGACTGGCAACGCCAAACAGCATCCGATGCACATGTGGGCGTTCTGGCAGAGGTCCCAGCACGGAACTGTCAGGTCGTGCATCTGTCGAAGCCTGAACCATGAACAGTTCCTCAGACGAAGGAGCCGCCGCGGGGAGCAATGGCCAAATGTTTCGCACGTGCCTTTGCCATCCGCGACGTCTCAGGCCCGCGAGCTGCAGCGGCGAGTAGCCCGGCAGGTCGCGATGCATTTGAGTTCCAGACGGCAGGGTCGGATTCAGCCGAACCGCCGGCGCGGTAACCTCTACCTTAGGGGTAGCACTCGAGCCAGCAGACCCCGAAGAGGCCTGCTGAATGACCTCGTCCCAGATGTTGTCTTCCACCATTGCCGCATTCAACGGATACGCCTCCCGGGGATGAGGGAGCCATGAGGCCGTCTCTTCCATGGCGACAAGGTTGAGGCGCAGACAATGATGCAAACGCCTTTGACGATCTTGTAGGCGCCTCATGACATCAATCACGTCAGCTTCACCGCATTGAAGCAGCTGTCTATTGACTGTGTCACGGACTTGCTCTTCGGCGTTCGCAAGGGGCAGGGTAGAGGTCGTCGAAGTGGATGTGGCAGAACACGTTCCAGTCGGTTCCCGAGAGGTCAGGATTTCCCATTCCATCTGTACCAGGCCAAAGTGAACGGTGTCGTGAAAGTCAACTTCACTGCACACGAGGACAAGTGTTGTCGTGGTCGAAGTGGGCGGGTTGTCAGAGGAGGACGACGACGAGACCAGGAGAGGCAGGCCGAGCAGCAGACAACGGCGCCGGGAAAGGTCCATGGCGACAAACGAAGAAGGCGGACTGAACCTGGAGGTTGAAGTTCAGCTGGAGCCAGGTGCAAGAGAATAAAACATGTTCCGGCGCTGAGGAGGCGGTGCAGGGGCTGACCTGTCAAAGCTGAGGTTGAGCTGACGACCAGTAGATTTGCAAGCCTGTTTCAGGGCAGGTTTAAGGGACTTAGAAGTGACCCCTATGGTGTGCTACAACCAAGGCAATCCCAAACCTGCTTTGTTGAACGAACCACATGGCTACGATAGAGGTCGAGCCAGTGTGTTGGCCCAGCAGATCGAGTTCCTGCATTTTCCGACGAAATGAGGGCTGAAGGCAGCAATGACACGGGACCCAGCTAGGGCATCAGGCTTATCATTTAGCTTTTGCGCCACTGCCGATGCGGGTACTCTTTTTCAAAATCTTCAGGCTTGCAGTGGCTGCGGACCATCCTCGGCTGGAGGGCGCCGGGCGGGATTTAGGGTTCAGGATTGAGGTGGCGGCGAAGGCTATGCCACCAACTATGTACGAGTCACGCGGCGAAGAGTAAGCCGCCTAGCTACGAGTCACGCGACGAAGGGCATGCCGCCTAGCTACGGGATACGCCGCTAAGGGCATTGGCACTTAGCCAAGTTTCGCTCTTCAAAGTGGCAAAGGCTTTCTGCAAAGAAATGTGCCCTGTCTCCTCCAAGTCCGGCAGACACTTAAGTTGAAGACACACGGACCCACGG